GATGAAACTCTGGTACAACCTGCAATCTGTAAAGTCTCCATCAAACCTCCATTTTGCAAAACCGGTTTTATGGTAGAGGTTGACCGAGCTTTCACATAAGGATCCTAACATATCCTAACCATAAGACTGCTTGACCGGAAAGCCTGCAATGGAGACTACAGCAAGCCCCCTACATTGGCCCATATCTTGACAAGTCGCACTCCGCTGCAGCGGCACAGGCTGGCAGAGGGTTTGCGGCTTCGGATTCTCAAAGTTTATTTCAGGGCCCTAAACCCTAAACCCTGAGTGCTTCAAGGTTTCAGGCCTTAGGGTTCACAGACGCCGCTCCTTAGGTTCCTCGCAGGCTTCAATAAGGTTACTGCGGGCTGTTTCTGTCTATGGACCCCGGCAGGCTGGAGGATTTTTTCAATTTTCGGGGGGGGGGGGGGGTTCTGGCGGAGGGTCTCAAGCCGTAGGTGCTTCTTCAAACCCTAAACCCTAAAACCTAAACCCTTGGTTTTAAACGGCAGGAACAGTAAATCGAGTAAGTATCCCATGGCTGGCAGCAATCAAACAAGCTGGAAACAACAGCGCGCACACACACACACACACACACACCCTAAACCCTACCCGAAGCCCTAAAACCTAAAACCCTAAAACCCTAAACCCTAAACTTGCGCTGGTTTCTGCGACCGCCGGACCATAACTCATGCGCAATCGGCCCACACAATGTTACACGAGATGTAACCTCAGCTAGCTTGGTGCTGTGTAATTCAACAACAGAACTGTCCTTGTTTCAAACAAACACAATGCCAGAATCTGAGCCCAAAGTCTACCGACTGCACCAACTAGCCGAGAGAACAGCATGGACAACATCAAATCGTGATGCTTGCAAACGCAGGCAGGAAGCAGCACTCAGTCATTCTCGCGTGCTCTCGTTATGTTTCTCTCAAAACAGATGTAAATGTCCATGTAGACACCAACCCCTGAACCCTTAAAGCAGAACACATACCTGTTGTGGAGAGCCTGCTGGAGGAACTGCATGGTGACCAGCACATGCGCTTCCCGCCCACACTCCCACACTGAACTTTATAGGCTTTCCAGACTCCAACGAGGGGCTGTACGCTTGGAGAGAGTACAGGCTATTGGGCTGAGGGTTTCGGTATTCAGGGCTGAGGGCTTGTGGGTGGCTTGGTTAGAATGCTTTAAACGAGGTTGCAGGGTATCTCACAGTGCAACTACGTCGAAAACATACTAGGAAGATGTGAACGTATACTGTTGTTGATATAGATCCTGCATGACCCATAATGAGAATTTACCATACTTCCCATAGTTTAGGGACCCTACGGCAATGCAGGATTTATATCATCAACCGTATGTTGAGTCGAGGTAGGACTGATCTGGCCAACCTACGCGATCAAGGAGCGGACTACTGCTGCGGCTGAGCCAATCGACAAGCATGAAAGTCAGGGCAAGGAAGGATAGCACTGGGTCTCCCAACCACAAGGTCCACGCACATCCATGCGCCCTGTTGGTATAATCTCCCAAATCTTCCACCTCATTAAGGAAACTACTTTTGAGTATACTAGGATGCCGAACATGCCGTAAAGTACATATATCCTTAGTTGAAGGTGTTGCCAAAGTCCTTCAAGCCGTATAAAACCGTCATAATTTTCTGTCACAACCTATAGTAGAAGCCGGAAAGTTGGAACATTAGTATCCTCATGCCCTTAAGATAAAGCATAAGGGATCCTAGCACTGATCCTCCTAAACCCATGTTCCAACTTTCTGGGATTCGTTATACTGGTTTAACGAACACGCCATGAAATCCAAAACCAGTCTGCAGGATTCTGAGCAGGTTTCTATACCGAACTTTGAACCCTAGCACAAATTATAATTTTAGCTGTTTATTAGGGATTATAATAACCGAAGATTAAAAAATATTTCTAAGTACCCCTAAGAACAGGGTTTAGGCATTCTGGAGAACGGAGCTTCCAAATCGTTGTACGTCTTAGAACCCTCAGCATCGGAAACTACCATTAAACTTTAAACTTGAAACACTAAACCCTTATGAGGCAATGCTATTGACCCCCATCTCCCGAAAACCTCTAACAGAAATCGCTCTGAAGAATAGTTGCTTGCTCCCACAGCTAACAAGGCTTAGGATTTATGGCCTTGGATTTACCCTAAACCGTACCAATCGACACGTTACACAAGTTCTGGTCACTCCTGGACTGAAAAGGAGCATTGTCGCCAGAATGGCGACATCGCACCACACCAGGTTTTAACCATCAGAGCCGACCTCAGCCCGACTCTTTACGATTCTGGAAAGTTAGGATGAACCCTGGCACCGGCAGTATGTCTTTGGAACGGAGCGCGGGCCGCAACCACGGTTTCTGGGTCCCGTTGGCAATCTTCTGGCTGGGCTCTGGTGTAAGCGGCTCAAATCCTCAAATGAAACATCTTAGGAAAAGCTTTTCGATGATAATAGTCATAGTGGTACTGATCATGATGATGTTGTTGTTGCTGTTGATGTTGATGTTGGTGATGATGATCGGGGTGACGGTAAGAGCGAGGATGATGTTGTTGCCGCTGGTGCTTCCGCCACGACCGCTGCCTCTGCAGCTGCCGCTGCTGCTGCCGCTGCAGCTGCTGTTATTGTTGCGGATGAGGTCGTAGACGTTGACGTTGTTGTTGTTGTTGCTGCGGTTGCTGCTGCTGTGGACCTTGTTGTTGTGGTTGTCGATGGTCTGAAGCTCGTGGGGTTTCAACCGCTTCTGTACATCCTCGCCAGCATCTGAGCTGCCACCCGGCTCCAGGCTAAACGCCATGCCGCAGGCCCTTGTTATTTCGCAACGCGAGGGGGGGGTGTATTGTTTTGGCTTTCGGAATTCGCGGTTGGGGTTAAGGACTTTAAGGTTTAGTGTTTCCGTGGACTGTTTGCATACCCATAGAATTCGGACATGCTTTCCGGGGTACCTCGTACCGAAACCATTACTGACGACTACTGACTGCTTCGAGCATGACAAAGTCGTAATGTACTTAGTGGAGGCAATCGCTGTGGGTCTTGTTGTGCCTTGTCCGAGCTTAGGACAGGGCATGGCAGCAGGACTGCTCAAGTAGAACCTGCGACAACCCCAAAGCCTAATCTGCGTTGCCACACCGCGTCATCGCTGAGAGCTTCGGCTTTCTGCAGAAGCCAGATGTGGCGTGGGGCCAGGATGCCGGAAGCATCGGGTTAAGGGCTTGCGTTCGGGCTGGGAGTTTCGGACCCCATAAACTCAAACCTGAACGCAAGATCGAAACCTTGGCGCTAACACCTAAACACAAGTACTGGGCTACCTGAGATGCTCGAGGAGGCTGGCTGGTCGCAAGGACCGGAATCCTCGCATGGGCCTTCTAGGTGCATGAACAATTAGTACGGTTATTTCCGTAAGGATCCAACTACAACTAGTACTCCGACATAGTAAACCACCAGAGCGAGTTCGAATTGCTAGGGCCGTCATGGTATAGTTTTGTAGAGTAGGGTTTCTCTCAGGATGCCCCGAAGACGATCTTAGAAAGTAGTCTGATGAATACTACGCACATGTGAAAGTCCTGGGCCGCTAATGAATCTTCATTCATGCTATCGCACAGCCTCAGCAGCCGTTTTCAGCCCCAGGCCAAATCTTCAATTACACTCCGAATCCTATACCCTACAGAATCAATCTCCAGGTGCTTCGATCAGGCAAGAGCGCGCTATAGCTCAGTCTGCACGTTCCCTTGCGGGGTCAGCGGCTGGCAAACCTCTCGCACGAGGCTTTGCGAATTGAGCTCAGCCAAGGGGTCCGTGCATTCATATAGTATCTACTGTGGGCGTTAATTAAGAACTCCCTGCTTAGGTACATACAGGTACGGTCGGGGTTTGGGAATTTTTGGGCCCCCGGTTTCTGGTCTGCCGGTCTGCCCTTAACTTAGGCTACGTATAAGTGACTATAAGTATGGTTACCTAATTTACAACGCCAGCTGCTACTAAGTCCCATGAACCTTTAAGTAGGGTTTCGGGTTCCGAATTTCGAGTTTTGCTTGCATGGACTTTCATAATGAGGCCTGCAAGAATACTCCTGTGACTGTGACACACATGAAGATTGTTCCAAATTCTCATTCCGGAAGAACAACCTACAATCGGACTCGAAAGGGCCCTCAATAGTTGGAAAGTCGCGCCAAACCCTAAACCCTAAACCCTAACCGTTCCAGGATGCTCCGACCTGAGGTTTGCGCCCAGTATTACCGGGGTGGGGGGCCCTGTGTCATTGGAGTGGAGTTGTGGGATATTGACAGGAATACCTGTTCAAATGCATCTGAAATTCACACCCAAAACCTAGCTGTCCTTAACAGATCTACATGGCAAGACCACTGTATTAATAACCCTGAACCCTAAAGCACAAGCCCTAAACCCGTAAACCTAAACGCCCCAACCCTGAACCCTGAAGTACAAGGAAATCATAATTTGGGCACGGCCCCCATACAGTAACAGTCTATAATAGGGCTACTATTAAGGGCCTTATATATCTATATTATGAATACTATCCAACTGTTACTGAGTGGGGGCCGTACCCAAATCATAATCAAGAAGACTAAAAGGCTAGGATCTTTGGGGTTGCGGTAAGCCCTAAACCCCAAGGCCACTACAGTAGAAGCCCAAAAGGTGGAAACCCAATAGCCTCAATGGTTAAGAGAAATCAAAAAGGGAATCCCAGCACTATTTGGCCTTAATCCGGTTTCCAAGTTTATGGGGTTTACTGTAGAGGCTTCATAAGCTAGGAGGTGCTTTTAAAGCCTTTGAAAAATATTAGTAGGTAAGATCCTCTTAAGCCCAATAAGAGCCAATATGAAATGTCCCAAAGCCCTACCTACTGTATATTAATTGCAGCCGCTGCCTCCAAAGCAGCAGTCTCGAGGCCGAAGCAGACTTCTGAATCGCCACCTGGCGTGGCTGCCAGGGCTATATAGAGGCCGTTGGGTTTAGGGTTTACCGCAACTGCGTCCAGGAAGGATATCGACTCCTTGTGCCCAGTCCCATTGTTGAAAAACCAGCAGCTCGGGATACTCAGCTTGAAGTCGGAGAGCTTGAGAACATCGCAGCGCTTTCGCATCAGGGTCTGTCGCACGCCTTCATCTTTCTGCATCTGCTTGCGAAGTGTGGACAGCTTATCCTGCTCAAGAAACAGATACTCAGGAAGGTGCGAAGCGCGCCGTCGCTCTTGAACTGCACCGAGAGCTTCACAAGCAGGGTCTGATACTCGCTCTCTCCCAAGTACAGGTACCCAGAGAACCCCAGTATCACATAATTACGGAATATCGCTTAAATCATCTTCTGAAGCCCCTTGTATTTTAAGGTATATTCCTTAATTAAGGGGTATTGCGCTCTCTGGGTAGCGCTCCATCAACTGGCGGGGGCTGTAGGGAGGGGGGGGGGCTCTGCTTCTGCAGCTCCATGAAGTCCTCCTGGCTAAACACCTTCACAGATCCCTGCTGAAGGTAGCAGTTCGCCGCGATTTTCAAGGGGCTTTGGTTTCGGGTTTAGGGTATATATATACACATATGTATGTATATATATATAGCCATAGATAGATAGGGGCATTTTCATTTCAATAGGGTTTTGGGTTTAGGGTTTTGAGTTTCGGGTTTAGGGTACGTATGTATATATATATATATATATGCATTGGTAGATAGAATAGGTTCGGGTTTAGGGTACGTTTATAAAGGGGCATTGGTAATTTGGGCTTCAACGGTTTGAGTTTAGGTTTAGGGTATAGCTAGCTGTATAGGGTATCCTGGGGTATATTATACTATAGTTATAGTAAGGAACCCTGTAAGGAATGGTATGCATGTACGGCTGACTGCTATATAGTTGCCCGGCTCCGATATTAATTGATTTTATTTGGGTTGCTCTTTGGGCGTGGGGCTGAGGGTATACGGCGTTTACGGTCTTAGGGTTTTAACGGTCTGGGCTTGAGTCTTGAGGTTTTCGTTTGAAGGTAAGGTTCAGGATTTAGGTTGTGCGGGTTCATAAATTTAATTGTCCGGACTGTATTAGTATAACAGGATGTTATACTGCAGCGTTTGTTTCTGTGTCTGGATCCCTGCACTACCCGACCCTACCTGGCCCACAATAACTACCAAGTTTTAAGGCTTCCTGATGATGGTCTGCGTTTATAAGTCTTTAATACAAGGTAGGAAAAGCCCTGAGGGTCCAAGTACCGAGACAGTATATACCTGGTCCTAAAGTACCTATATAGGTACTATTTTACGGCCAACGTTTATACCATTTGGGCACCATGGACCCGTATACCCGGGGTCTAGGCTCTTGGGTCGCTTAAACCCTGCCCTTTGGAGATCCTGAATGACGAACCAGAATGCTTGACATTGCTGAACAATGCTGAACACACAGCCTTCAACTCTGCTCCGATACTAAGCGGGGAACCTGGCAGCGCCGACCCTGTATATATGTTGTATGAAGAAATCATAATATGCCTGCATGTCTAGGTTGTGGTGTGGATAGCTTTGACCCGAGAAGCATGACTGATACTATTAATTACGAGTCTGGTCATTTGGCCACGTATCTTGGTTGTCCTGAACGGGTCTTGACGGTCTTGCGGTTGCGGGTAGTATGCGTTTTAAAGGGTTCAGAATCAAGTTTATTCCAGGCGGGCCGCCTGAAGACGTCAAGCAGCTCTGCCGCGCGACGGCAGCTGCAGCCTCTAGCTCCTTCATTCACATCAAGCGGAATCAAGCGTTCGGAGGAGCCAGAGGGCTTGGTGGCCGGATGTTGAACACTTGGGTTAGCATCCCCAATCGAACATTATCACATACAAGGTGTGCGTCTGTGTGGGGCCAGTTTAACACCGGCTCCCTTTTGCAGTAGGAGATTTTCCCGAAAACAAGCAGCACCGCCCACGCTGAAGATACCCTGCCTATAGTGCCATAGTGCCCTGGAGCGAGAACAAACGGGAAGTGCAAGGCTACACCCTAAACCCTAAACCCTAAACCCTAAACCCTAAACCCTAAACCCTGCTTTGGAAGCTCTTTGGGGCTCCTGGTCCCGGCGGCTTCTGTTTGCTTTTGAGAAGCCTGGAGCCACACTAACGACTCTTGCTCGGTCCCGAAACATGAGTTTTTAAATGACTTGGCTTGCAATCGTTGTGCATTGGGCTTCAGGTGCGATGCTCCGTTGTGCGCCGGCACTAAGACTCGCAAAGACGCCCATCCGACAAAACATAGAACGCCCCTACAACTATTGAACCCAATGGGAGTTTCAGAAAATGGGGACCCTAATATGGTACCCCAAATAGTAGGATCCTTATTAAAAGGATCCCAAAATACGGTACCCCGATTTTCTGAAACTCCCAATAATCCCTGTAGAGCCTTCCATCATACAACACCGTCAGAACCCTGCAGTCCGCATGGGGCCTTTTCAACAAATTGGCAGGAATCCTGACAGGACCACTCCTAAGTGGAACCGCACACCCTGAAGCCTAAAAACCTAAGCCGTTCAGAAGGGGACGCCGTGGACGCTTGTTTGTTCCCCCAAGCGGTTTAGGTCTTAGAGTTTGAGACTGGTCATACTAGTAAGGCTTAGGGTCTAAAGCCTCCCTAAACTCCCAAACAACCCAAAACCCATCCAAAAACTCGAAACCCTCATCCCTGCAACACTAAACCCTAAACGCCTAAACCCTATAAGCCCTAAACCCTAAACTACTCCTAAACCCTGAGCCCTCAAAACCCTGAATACTCCTAAACCGGCTACACCCTCAAACCGCCGCGCAAGCCGCCTTCGCATGCGCAGCAAACTCACCGGGCCGCAACTCGCAAAGGCGGCTGAAGAGTGAAATCGCCTTCGGAAGCCGGGACTCAAGGGGATCTGTAAAGGCTTTTATAGGGGTTCTTCGGGGACTTATTTTTTAAGGAATCTACAAAGGTCCTCTATAGGCTTTCTATAAGGGTCTTCTTTCGGGTTTCTATAGTTTAGGGTTTAGGGCATTGGGCCTGAAACCTGCTTGAAGGTTCATGGGGCTTAGCAACTATGGTTATTAGCATGACACCAGTTATGGTGGCGATACTCGCTGAGTAACTCCCATGAACCTGCCAGTAGTAGGGTTTTGGGTTTAAGGTTCAGGGTTTAGGGTTTAAGGTTGGGGTTGAGGTTTGAAGGCTTACCCTAAACCCTAAACCCTAAACCCTAACTCTGAAGGTTCAAGGTTTGAGGTTTTAATTCGTACTGCAAAGGGCTCCGTTCAGAGCTCCTGCAGAAGTTCTATGATGGGTCTTGCATAGCCCTTAGGCTCAACATAGGCCAAAAGCCTTACATAGTATGGTCTTTGGGCCCGAAAGCCTTAAAATCGGATTCCTTAGAGCCTAAGGGTAGGGGTTTCATCAGGTGTTTCTCTACCTGTTTGATAAAGGTTCGGCCTTCTACGCTTCCGGTAAGGTTGGGTCGGTTTCAAACGGCTTCACGAGGCTTGTAGAAACTGGTCATGCATGTTATCCGGGTATGTAAAAGTGTGAGTGGGTTCAGGCTGGCATAGATCACTGCAGAGTTATGGACTTTAACTCGGGCAGTTACGGTCAAAAGTTTATAGGAGACCCCACAAACCCTAGGCCATAAACCCTAAACCCCAACAACTACAACCTGAACCCCGTACCCTAACCCAAATACCCTACCTGCGGCCCCAAACCCTCCAAAATAGTGGGTTATGACCCGTTAATTAGCGGGTAGAACCCTTCAAACGGTAGGTTTTTGGATCCCAAGGTAAACCCTAAACCTCTGACATTAAAGAACGGTCTTCTGAAACCCTGCTCAAAGCCTTCTCGGAGGTGTCCACGTCTGGCCCGTCTCGTCCCCGAACCTGCGCATTGCGGCTAGGGCCAGGGTCATGCCCTACGATCCGAAAGAAATGCCAAACCTCGACTCTAAACGAAGAACCTTGGTGCTCATTGCAAGAACCTTGGTTTCTTAGTTGCCGAGTTCATAAGCCCAAAAAAGTTTACACTTTCAGTTTTAAAAGGGTGTCATTATCCCAAAAAGTTTAAAGTTTATTAACTCAACTACTCAATTCTGTTTGGCGGTCCACATTAGGGCCCGGTTTTTCTGAAATTCCAACCCGAGAGTGGAGTGTTCTGTTGCAGGTTGGAAGTTTCGCCTCCCAGAAGTATACTGCAAAAGCCTTTCTTAGAATTCTTCTTAGCTTTAGCCATTTTTCATCTTTCACCTGGACCCCAAATCATCTAAAAAAAAAGAGGTTTTTGTAGGGTCCAGGTATGCCATATAGGGACTATGGGGCACTCGATCAGGCTTTTTGCCAAGCTAACGTAGACCTGTGGCCCCAAACCCTACAAAATACTAGGTTATGACCCCTTAAATAGAGGGTCTGACCCCTAAAACGGTAAGGTTTTGGATCCCAAGGGATACCGTGCTGATATGAAGGAAACGATGCCAGGACACTAGGTCAACTACACGCATTTGCAAAATACTTCGGCTGCTGGGTACTGCAAATGTACCCTGAAGCCGGGAACCACAAGCTTCACCCTTACGCACCCATAAACATGTACACCCACACAAACACTGAAACTGATTAAGATTCTTAAACACAGCGCTAAACAAACGTTATAGGAACATATACAAACCCTAGCTTTGTATGCTCTGAAACTCTAGACCCCAAAACCAACAATCACAATCCCTGAAACCTGAAAGCCGGAAACGCTAAACCCTACCCAAACCTTGCATCTAGGGCTCGGCTTAATTAATACGTAATTAGTGTGGGAACCTGATTAAAAAAAACCTTGGGCCTTTGTTTGGGTTCCTTATGTGAACCTTATAAGCCCAGGGTTTCTTAATCAGGTTCTTACATTACCCTCAACCCTAAAGTCCTCAAGGCTTCCTTATATACTATTAAGGCTTAGGGTTTAGGTTTCAGGGTCCAAGTACTTAATCACATGCTCCCGCAAGTAATAACCTACATAACTACTATCCGAAACCTAAGTACCTAATTATCGGGTCCTTTGGACCCTTCCTGTAGCCGAAAAGACCTACGTTTTTAAGGAACTTTATATAGAAACCATAATAAGGAACCCTAAAAAGGTAGGCCTTTCCGGCTACAGGTTAGGGTAATATAAGCATTCTGCAGTATGCCTCCCCGGCCCCCAAACCGTACTCTACGTTTTGAGGCCTGCATAGTATGTTTTCTTTTGGCGTCAGGTTTGAGCCCGAAATCAGGCTCATCTACTACACCCTGATGGACACCCTTTTCATAACAACGATTCAAAACAACACTAAAGGGAACCATGTTCTTAACTATTTCTTGAATATGTTAGATTATGCTATATTGTATTTAAGCCTTGACGTACCTACATCGGAACCCCTTTGTGGAGTGTGTACTGTATAGGCACATGGAACCTTAGGGATAGTAAGCTCTTCCGCACCAGCTCGAGCAATGGATCCACCAGCTCGGCAGGGGTGGCTCGGTCCAGGAACGGCGCCTGCGTTTTTGTTACGGTTCCTTAAAGGGCTCCATTCACGGAATCCTTTCAGGGGTTCCTTTCAGAGTTCCTTTAAGAGTTCCTTTAAGAGTTCTTGTATGTAGTGTTTCTATAAGGGAGCTATAACAGGTGTTGGTAGATTTGGAGTTTCAGGGGTAGGGCTTCGAGGTTTGGGGATTAGGTAGTGAAAACATTCAGGACCCCTCTCTGCCATAGACTCCACCACAGGTCCTCCGCCCGGAACAATATATCGTGTCAATTCGTTCCTGAGAGGTGATTCATCTGCTCCGTTTACTATGTGGGCGGCTGTCAAAATTATGTTTATTTTTTGTTGGGTCCCTATTATAATACGGCACCTAGTATTAAGGGTACCCAACAATGAACCTCAATTTTGACAACTACCCATGTGTAGCGGACACCAGGAAACCCTTTCCCTGGCATGTAATGGGCATATGGAGACGACGAAACTTACCTTTCAGGATTGTATGGGCTATATGTACTGAATGAAGGGCCCAGAGAGTATCACGCATTTGCGACCCGCCAATGCTGTGAGGACCGACACTCCAGGTGCTGCACGTGCCGGAAGTGCATGACATACGCTTGTGCTTCCAAGCATAAAACAGCTTTTAGCTGGCTTAGCTGCAGCAACCAGCCTTGCCCGCCATATCTTATGATGTGTGTCCCACAGAGGCTTTTGCATCGCCTCCATGCATAAACCCACAGCCTCAGATGAATATGCAATATTTATGCAACGTCCATCCAACTGGCTTCAAGGTTTGTTGCCAACCAAGGAACACACTTCTCAGGAACAGGATACTCAAACGGCGGCGCAGTGGCTGGGGCATCCGCCACTAAACGAGGCATGGCTAGGAGTTTCAAAGGTTTCCGCCACTTGCAGCCACCCCTTGGGCCCGCAGCAGCGTGTTTGGGAAGCAAGCTTTCAGATGCGCATGCTTCTCGCAGGATCAACTGCTGGCCTAGACCCAATTAATTTACATTGTCCAGCTTTACCGGGATAAAGGATTATCACACCGGGTAAACTCCAACACAAAGCCAAGATATTACATATTGAATATTTAAGCTATATACATATATAATTAACAATGTTATGTATCTTGCGCCCGCCCTTGCGCGAGCTTGCGCGCGCGAGGGTTTTTAACTACCATGCAAAACCCTAATGCCGGCCCTCCTCTTGCCACAAGAGGCGGTGGTTTAGAACGGCATCCATGTGTTAAGTTCTGCATGTATGTAGGGTTGGCACATACACGCAGTTACGACGTAATGTACTGCAAAGGTAGGTAGGTACGTAAACTGGCCCCTCATAATTGCAGTAGGGATTTTGGGGCTACGTCATACTGTGAAGGTATGTTATTACTCGTACACGACAAGAGGACGCCAATGCTAATCGTTCAAAGCCCTGCATAGCCTCACAGATACTGTTATTATCACGACCCCTCGAAAAAAAAAACACCCTAACCACCCTAAACTCCGGTGAATTCATGATAATGGATCTCTTGAAGGAACCCTTAAAAGAAAGCTGAAGACCCCTAAACTCCGATGATTTCATGATAACAGATTTCTTGAAGGAACCCTTAAAACAAAGCTGAAGACACCCTGAAAGCACGCTGAACTGGCTCACGGCCCCGAAGTGGGAAACCAAGCCAGTGCCTCCGGATTCTGGGCGAGGAGGATGTCTAAGTAACCCAGGGCCTCTGCATGGCAGGAATAGGATGTAGGGGTTTAGGGGGCCTTAGGTCGTTTAGCTTTAACCCATAAGCAGAGGCTCATCAACTCTGACCCCTAACTTCTCTGGGAGCTTCCATCCTACTATTAAGTGTCCCCGATTTTCGGAAACAACATCCGTAGCCGAGAAAACTTGGATAGTTTTAGGCTTCCTTATCATGGCTTCTATATATTATTACAGAGGTCGGTTTTTTGGCCATGAGCCCTAAACCCTAAACCCTACACCCTAAACCCTAATCCCCTCAGGAATGCAAGAACGTGGCACTCAGGCGCCTGTATGAGTCTCGAAACCCCGGGTGAAGGTCCCCTTGTAGTATCCTTAAGGGAGGGGGGTCCAAGGGGGGTAGATAGCCTAGTGATCCCTAATTCTCCCTAGTACTCCCTAAGGTTCCCTTACAGTCCCCTAAGGATTCCTTATACCCTCCCCCCTTGAACCACCCTCCCTTAAGGATCCTGTAAGGGGGGGGGGGTCCCCTGTGCCTTCTTCACGACGGCCACGCTGTCGTGTTTGAGTCCGACCTTCGATATACTAGCTAGCCCTTAGGCTCTAAGGAATCAGATTTTAAGGCTTTCGGGCCCAAAGACCATGCTATATAAGGCTTTTGGCCTGTGTTGAGCCTTAGGGTAGGTGTAGGGTTTGCTCTGTACGGTTCAAGGTGTAGTCCTAGAGGACCCTCTCTTATTTTGCACAAGATTTCGGGACATCCGCAGTGAAGAGAAGTGAAGTTTAGTGATTCGCATATTGGGTTTAGGCCCGATTATATAGGGACCCCCCCAAAAAAAGCACATAAGCATCAAGCATTTTACTGGGATATCCCTACCTTATTGGGCTTCATTCTAACGGGGTTTATATGGGATATCCGGGGTTTATATGGGATATCCCTATCCTAATTTTTGCTTATGTGCGTTTTTTGGGGCCCTATTATAAACCCGATACTTTCCGGTCCAGGCTGTCGGGTTCTCAGGCTTCCGGCCTATAAGCTCGAAACCTTATGCTTTAGGGGTTTAGGGTTTAGGGTTTAGGGGTTTAGGGTTTAGGGTTTAGGGACTGACTCTAGCCCAGAGGGTCCAAGTACCCAAATAGTAGGGGTTTAGGTCCCAAAGTCCAGACTCTGAATGGTTTTTGGACCTTGAAACCCTGCTATTTGGGTACTTGGACCCTTAGGGTAGTAAAGCTTGCTCATCGAAGCTGTCTCTTTCAGGATGTTGAATATACTATAGGGTCCCCAGTAATTAGAATAGGGGTTCCTTTACAGGGTTTCTCCAAAACTCCGTAAGGGGTACTTTTAAGGCTCTAGAATCTAGGGGCCTTGACAATTGGAATGGGGTTTGGGGTCACTATTAGGGCCGCTGTCTTACTTTTTAGTTCCTCGAGGGAACTACTATAAAGGCCCTTAAAATGACGTTAAGGGATGATCATTGATCATTTGAATTCATTCAAACTCTCTATCAAGAACCGGGGAGTCTGGGGTTCAAGCGTGTAGGGATTATAGGGCTTGAGGGGTTCGGGTTTTAGGCCCCAGGCTTTGGGGTTCAGGACTCAGGATTTACAGTGGTGGTTTCGGGTTGATTGTTTGATGCACGGGTACTTGACACACATCATCATTTCTGAAGCCGCCGCAAAACCGGATTTAGCCCCAAATCAACATAAACATAAACTCTAAACCCTGAAGCCACGTGTGTTAAGTAGCTTTCATCTCCTCTTCAAGCGTATACACTAGTTAGATACCTGGGCGGTAAACGCGAGCTAGAACTGGAGAGCCACCATGCTCTAGGGTGTTAAATATATAAGCCTTCGGGGCCAACACTTTCTAAACCCTTGACGCTAAGCCCCTCAAGCGCTAACTTCACTCAGCGATACTTCATGTCTACAGCGTTTACCTGTGAGAGCGCAAACTCGGAAACAAATAGGCTATATGAACCCTTTATCAGATGGCTGAACCCTTAGAGTGGTAGCTTCAGTGAAGGTAAGAATTAAGCTAGGGTATGTGGGGAACGGGGTGGACTAGGAGCTTTCAGGTGGGGCTTACGGTTTACACTTGAAGACAAACTGCTTTCATAGAAGTTATTCGTGGATTTGCTGCTTTAATTTCTGTGTATTCTTGATGTTGGAGGGGGATGTATTGGCTGAAACTTTAGGGTGAGAAGCCTCACAAGCCACCAAGCCTCGAAACCTCCCACCCCCCCGCCCCCCTCCACACGAGCTGCAAATTAAAACAACCCGGAACCCTCCAGCCTTGACCGTGTCCGGCAAACGACGCACTGAACATACCCTCAAACCTGAACTACTGAACTCCTCCACCCTAAGTAGACCCTGAGGCCCTCGACCCAAACCCTAAACCTCCAAGCCCCAAGGCCCAAAACCCTGCTTTTCAGAAATGTTTATACAGGGCTTTTAGAAAAGTTCTATAGGGTTTTTGTTGGGCTTTGATTTTGGCATGGGGTTGCGACGCCTGTCCCTAAAGAAGCGTTCTGAAGGGCGTGGTTCTATTAAGGTTTCAACAGGATACGATTCTGACAGGGTTTCCGGTTTAGGTTTAATATAGGAGCCTTAATTAGCTATGATGGGGAGCCACCAGCATGGTGTTGGTAATTGTTTCGGCCCCCTATATATAGTAGGGTCAGGGTAGGGGTGTGGATTAGGGTTTGGGGTTTATAGTGTTTCGCATAACTTTTCGCGCCTTCTCAAAACAAGTTCGATCGGTGTAGTCTTATTGTAGACTTCTAGACAGCACAGCCCAAATCACGGGCTCCATGGAGAACTCCTTTGATAATGCCTTCAAGGGCTATTATTGGGTTCCTGAAAGGAACCTTTAAGGGGCTCTTATGGGGTTCCTTAAAGGAACCATTAAGGGGTCCTATAGGGTTCCTTAATGGAACGCTGAAGGGGCTCTTATAGGGTTCCTTTCATGATGTCTTCGTGGGGCTCTGTAGCGGATCGGTTTGTATTTCTCTGCCGGGGCAACCGTCAACTGCAAACCAGTAGCCTACACCCTACACTGATACCTATATAAAAATAAATATGTGTGTATATATATATATGTGTGTGTGTATGTGTATATATACATGCAGGTTTCGTCTTCGTCCTTCCCCTCATCGTTCTCATCCTCCTTCGCCTTCCCCTAGCCTCCTTCTCCTTCCTAGGCTCCCGGTCGCGCCAGGCGCGGATTGTGGCACCGTTCAGATGTAATCCTAAACCCTAACCCTAAGGGTCCATGTGCTCAAATAGGGTTCCTTTAATCAAATAATCAAAGGGTTCCTTTTGTAGGTGGTCTAAAAGTGTTCTTCTTGGTTTATATATGGTATAAGGGTCCATGTCGTACTCAACAAGTATATACATTTGCCCCAACATACCTAAATACGGACTACTTTGAGAGGTCATTGTATAACTGTATAACCTATTTCGGTACATGGACCCTGAGGGTAAACCCATTAAGATTCTGGCCAACCCTGTCACCGCCACATATTCCAACGAGAAGGCCAGACCGCACAAGAGAATTACCCAAATGTAGTTGCGCAGAATGGAGGCCTAGGCACAGGCTTGATGTTGAATCTGCTGCACATTCCTCAGCTGATCCTGTACAGCACCAGTGTCACCAGCCGCGCCAGCTTCACCCCAGGTCACAACGAAGCCATCTTCAAGAATAGCAGCAAAAGCGACTGCATTGGCCTGGATCTGCTGAACATTCTTTAGCTGATCCTGCACAGCACTACTGTCACCACCGAAATCAGCATGACCCCACGTCACGACCGATCCATCGCCGAGAATGGCAGCGAAAGCCAGTCGTGAAGCTTGGATGTGCTGCACGTTCTTCAGCAGATGCTGCACAGCTCCACTGTCACCACCGCGATCAACACGACCCCAGGTCACAACCGATTCATCGGCAAGAACTGCGGCGAAGGCACAATCAGCTGCTTGGATATGCCGCACATTCTTCAGATGAATCTGCACAGTACCGCAATCACCGCCATTGTCAGCATGCCCCCAAGTGACGACCGATCGATCGTGACGAATGGCTGCAAAAGCACTTCCATTTGCTTGGATCTGCTGCACACTCGTCAGCTGATCCTGCACAGCGCGACTGTCACCACCAAAGCCAGCATGACCCCAGGTCACGACAGATCCTTCGCAAAGAATGGCAGCAAAAGCATGCTGAGTGGCTTGGATCTGTTGCACACTCTTCAGCTGATCCTGCACTGCACTACTGTCACCACCGCAGACAGCATCCCCCCAAGTGACGACCGATCCGTCGTCAAGAATGGCAGCAAAAGCACATTCAGTAGCTTGGATATGCTGCACATTCGTCAGCTGATCTTGCACAGCACTGTTGTCACCACCGACCTCAGCATCACCCCAGGTCGCGACTGATCCGCTACTAAGAATGGCAGCGAAAGCATTTCTGGAGGCATGAATCTGTTGCACACCCTGCACAGAACAACTGTAGCCATCGTAATCAGCATGACCCCAGGTCACGACCGATCCATCGCCGAGAATGGCAGCGAAAGCCAGTTGTGAAGCTTGGATGTGCTGCACGTTCTTCAGCCGATGCTGCACAGCTCTACTGTCACCACCGAAAAATGCATCACCCCAGGTCACGACGGATCCATCACCAAGAAGGGCAGCACAAGCGCCGCACGTAGCCTGGATCTGCTGCACATTCTTGAGCTGATCCTGCACAGCACTGCTGTCACCGCCAAAGAAATTGTGACCCCAGGTGACGACGGTACCGCACCCAAGAATGGCAGCAAAAACTCCTTGGCCAGCACATACTTGCAGTCTGGATATGTGCAGAGTCAACGAATCACCATTCCGCAAATTCGCTGTCATGATCGGTGTCAATACATCCAGAACACTTCCACTCGAATTCAGCAGTCGCCCGCTTCGGACTCCAAGCGCGGCCTCTGCCCGTAGCTTCAAAGTTCCGACCTCTTCATCCAAGCTCGCATTCACGGAAACTCTTTTGCCACTGAGCAATCCGACGTCCACAGAAATCGACATGGAGCGGGGGTGTTGAAAATCTTTGCACTAGGTGAGTTGGATGGAAGGCATCAGAGCTCATCATTTACCCTTACTTAAAACTGATGATGCAGGCTTCCGGCAGCATTTTCCACCCCGCTGGGTGCATGTATACTGTATACTTGGCCCAACACGGATTTCCATGTATGGTTCTTTTGGGGTCGGACTCAGAGTTATCAACTCATTATATATGGGTCACCATGTGACAAAAATCGTATCCATAGACCCTACCTTCACCCCGAAATAGGCTAAATTCTTAAGGACTTATACAAATACATCACAGTGGAGGGAGCTTTCATCAGTTCTTACCTTAAGCCGGAATAACCTACCTTTTTAGGGTTCCTTATTATGATTTCCTTATATAAGTCCTTAAAAAGGTAGGTTATTCCGGCTTAAGGTAACGGTTGGTCGCAGGTAAGACAGAGATCCTTAAAATGCCTCCACCGGATTGGAGTTTGAACCAAGTGCATGCCAAATCCACCATTTTTTGTGGTGGAGACTTACGAACGGTTTAAGGTTTAGGGTTTAGGGTTGCCTTTCAGATTGGAGTTGAAACCAAATGTGACCCTTACAAGCCTGCGCCTAAACCGCTGAACAAGCCCTCTGAGTCTACGCGCCACTGAAGCCACTACTATGAATGTAGGGGTCTGACTAACTGAAGAACTACTTTCCTACTTATTTGTCAGGGCTCCACTTCATGATAGGATACTCTAGCCTCTAGCCCAAAAGCTTTTTGTAGATCTTTGACCGCTATCTTGCACCCTGAGTCTGAGCTATATGAACCCTGTCCAAGTTTCTTTGGGAGTTTCGGAAAAATGTCCCTAATATAGTATGCCCTATAAATAGTGGCAAACAAGGTATCCCTCATTTTCCCTGTATCCCCAAACCCTACAAAATAGTAGGTTATGACCCCTTAGCTAGAAGGTAGAACCCTTAAAACGGTAGGTTTTCGGATCCACAGGTCGGAAGCCCCGATTTCTGAGATCCCCCGACCGCGATCATCCAGTCGGGCACGCCCAAGTGGTCTGCCTCGGCCTGACAAGGCTTCTTGGGCTTAGGGTTTAAGGTTTAGGGTTTGGGGTTTAGGGCTTAGGGTTCAGGGTTTAGGATTTATTCTTGGGCTTAGGGTTTCTGTTTTGGCTTGGGGTCTAGGGTTTAGGGACCCTTAAGGGGCCCTTAGGGTTGAAGTCATAGGGGTTTAGGGTTTAGGGACCCTCAGGGGGGAAGGGGCTATACTTCCTTAAATAGGCCTTATTAAGCCCCTATTATGGGTATCAAGGCCCCCTACCCCACTCCCCACCCACCCCCCTAAGGGTCCTTACAACTTAAGGTAGCCATCCTTCCCTGAAGGTCCATGTACTCATATAGCATATACTTAGGCCCTAAACTACAAAGGTAGGGATACATTAAGGCCAATGTCTATACTATAGGGCGTCACAGTATTGTAGACCAAAACCACCTCTTAATGAGGAATAAGAGATTCCGTTAAAGGGTACTTAAGTTACTTGGGGGCTCCAGGCAGTACCTTAGGATAAAACAGGGCTCCCTTTAGGGTATTGGGTAGTTTATATTTCAATCTAAGGAACCTGCCACGACAAAAAGGGAAAATGGGCCTCGTGGAAGACCTGGGAGGACCCCCAAAGCCCTTAAAGAAACTTACCCCAACATTCCAAAGGATCCAATAGTTGGGTATTTGGGTTTAGGATATTAGTTACGTAGAATGTAGGTTGCTATTTTGGAGAGGAGAGTATATGATAATTACGTACTTGGACCCCTAGGGTTAACGAACAACAAAGTCTTCTCAGACCTGTCTAACTGGTTTCGGAATTGAGACGGTTGAGGTTGTAGGTTCCGGCCTTTGGGGTCCGTATAGAGTCTCTGGGATTTACTGCAGAGTTTACGTATCTTTCGAACGCTGCGCTACGTCGGCTGCTTCTTGGGTGTAACTTGACAGAAGTCTGAAGCGCTAGACCCTAAACCCTAAACTAAACCCTAAATCCTAAAACCCGAAACCTTAGGCATGGCGTGTAGCAGAGTCGGAATGAATCCTGGATTTACCTGGTAGTTCGCAAATACGACCCTAGCCCCAAACAACTTACCTTTTTAAGGATGTATATAAACAATTTATAATAAGGAACCCTAAAACTGCAGTTTCTTTGGGGTCCAGGTAGTTTTTGCTAAGCCTAACCTAAAAGGTCCAATGGATGCCTAGTGGTAAAGGTAAGGCTTCACGGGAGTAAGGTGTGCTCTGCTACAGATTGGAATGAAGTCCTAAGCTAGACCCAAGAGTAACCTGGGAACAGAAAAGGTGCCCTGTTTGGTTCAAAAGTACAAGGGAACCTGAACCCTAAATAAAGGGAATAGGGGCCTACTCCAGGTCCTAGTAAGAATTTAGTCCGGGGATCACAATTGAATCAACCCTACACCCTAAACCCTACCTGGAAACTCACTAAGACATCTTCCGTTCTAGGGTTCGATAGGGCGGCACGCTTGAAACTCAAAACTATACATAAGGAGTCCGGGTTCCATAAACCCTGAAACTTAAACCCTAAACCTTAAACCTTAGACCCTAAACCTTAAACCTTAGACACTAAATATTCCCGAGCATTTGTTGCAGATTCAGGCCCTTGGGATTTGAGCTTCGTGCTTCGGGCTTCCACTCCAACGTCTCGCGCCGGGTGGCCAAATATTGATGACTACTGTTGGTGATATAAATCCTGGGGTTCCTGTGAAGGGATCTACATGGGTACCTTTAAGGGGTTCCTTTAAGGGATCTATAGGGAGTTCAGGGTTTAGGGGCATAAATCCTGCATTACACGCAATAAGGAATATACCATAATTCCCATAGTTTAGAGCCTTTAAGGTAATGCAGGAATAAAGTCATCAACAGTAGGACCTAGAGTAGGACCTTATTCCCTTTATTTAGGGTTCAGGTTCCCTTATACTTATAAGCCCCTTTGAACCAAAAAAAGGCACCTGTCTTATTGCCAGATTACTTTTGGGTCTAGATGACCATCAGCATGCTAGGCCTGCTAGGCATACTGATAGTAATGTGGTGCAGGCAGTAGAAACGTGAGCTTCTTACTGGCCTTGCCGGAAAGAGGTTGCTTTACATAGGAGCCTTGCCCGGGTAATTGTGGCTGGAGGGATGCACTGAGGACGTTACGCTCGCATTTATGTTCCGACATGTCAGAGTTTGTTGTGAGCACTTAAGACTTAACATCTTTCGAAGGACTGCCACGACTGGACTCTTCAGCTCTGACCTGATCGAACTGAAAGCTCTTGGGCCTTCCAGCCCAAACCCTACCCTACCTCACCCTGTGTCAAACATGCAAGGCTATCCACATGGGAAACCCTTGACCAGAAAGCTAAACCCCAGATGCTAAACGCCCAAACCTGAGTTCCGGAACCCTTAAACCCAAATACCCTAGACTCTTGACCTGTAAACCCTAAAGATACCTCAAGCCCCAACCCTACATGCCCAAACCTTACGTGTACAGTATCCAAAGGGCTTACCCACCCGACTACCAACAAACAAAATGGCCTGAAGGACGTTCGAGTTCTTTGACAGACCGGAGATGGCAAAGAGCAGCTTGCCACAGAAAGCAGCCGATGCCTCCTGGGCAAGGCAGAGAAGTTTCGACTCCAGTGTTGTCATACTGGGTTTAGGGTTTAGGGTTTCAGATCTTTAGGGTTTAGGGTATATAGGGATCTTACAAAAAAGAACGAACAAGGCTGCTTTAAAAGAGTTTTTGAAGGGTCCTACAGGGCCGGAGCGCTCTTTGAGGCTTTGCAGGAATTCCTGGGGTGTAACGCAACGGTCGTATTTCTAAAGGCGATAAGATGTGACGAATCACAAGCCCAAACCGGACATACGGGCGGGGATTTGAGTTCAGGGTTTGCCGGGGAAGGGGGGGGGGGGGCGGGGGGCCTGGGGATTGCAGGAAGGGACTCTCGGCGCTCAGGGCTTTCAGCGCAACCTGCAGAGGATAAACAGGATCGAGCCGAGCAGAAAACCTGACGTCTACACTACCGAAAATCTTTGAGCTTCTACATCCTCAGACAACAAGCCAAAGCCTGACATGACTCCTTCACATGAAGCCTCTGCGCCCCAAAATGCGAGAATTTGTGCTCAGTAGCAGTTGAAAAATCGTTCAATAGCACTCCTTCTAAACTCAAAGCCCTAAGTCCTGACCCATAATCGTAAACCTGAAGTCTAACCGGGCAACGTTGGTGGGTCGATACCAGTGGCCAACACCCTAGCAGTTTGGGGCGTGACTCGGGGCCCTAGTGCAGGGGCCGTAATAAATAGAAAGGATTCCGTTAAAGGGTCCATAAGGGCTACAATACCCAGACCCCTGGGAGGATCTAGAAAGTAGATCCCCTAATTTGGGGCCCTATACTACTAAGGGTACTTCATGGGAACCCCCATTAAGGGATCTACTTTTCGGAGGGTGCCCGCAAGCAGGCGTTCAAAGCTTCAAGGCTCTGGACCTAAATCCCAAACCCCATACCGCTGAATGTCTGGGTGTTGAGGGGTTTAGGGTCTGTGCTTTGTAGGGTGGGGTTCAAGGGTTCAGGGCTCAACGTTTATATAGGGACCTTAACAATTAATTTCAATAGGATTTGGGGGCCATTATACCAAAGTCATAATAAGGAACCACCAAAATGACATAATATAGGTAACTATTAATAAGGCCCCTATAATATACAGTTACAGTTTATGCAGTTTGCTCACTGTGCCGGGGGCCACACCGGTACTTGTCCCGGAGTACCTGAGTGGCAGGGCGAGATCATTCGTGCGCAATCTGAGTAAATTGTTTGTGAGATCAGCTGGACGCAGTATTGACAAGTCTTCAGAGGGTGCTGGCATTCGCCAGCTATGGCCAGTGCCATGGATCGTGCCGGCATCACACTCGACAAAAGAGCGACAAGAGCACTAACAGAGCTCCTGCCGCAGGCCATATGCCCAAGCCCAAACTCTAAACCCTACAACCCGAACCCCACCAACCCGAACACCTTAAGTTTAAATTTAAATGATAAACTGATAAACTTAGACCAAGAACTTGAATATTTCTCTGCACTCCAAAGCCAAGACAGCCCTGAGAAGACCCCGGGTGCTAAAGCTCGAAGCATTCTAGCGTCCAAAACCGGGTTGCAGCACGGTAGAACTAATGTACGCTACGCGAAATCGGCAAATTGTATGTAGCTGCAATAATTCAACGAACATAATACGAATGAAAGGTTCACAAAATAAGTGCTTGTATGTATGCAAGTATGTTGCCTATACGTCTATATAGTGTTTCCATATATATACAATGATAGACATTGGAGATATATATGTGTATATATATATATGTTTATTTACTTATACCTATATTAAAACAAATATTCTTTCTTTGGTCACTTAAATGAAAATGCCTCTGTGCAGCAAGCAGCGCAAGATCCTATGGTTCCACGGAGGATCTGCCTCTGGTGATGCCAAAGAATTCTTTCATCATAAGGACCCTTAGGGTTTAGGGGGATAGCGTTTAGGGTTTAGGGGGTCGGGGGCCTTAATACCTATGATAAGGACTTAATGAAGACCTATTTAAGGAAGTATAGTCGCCTACTCCCCTCCCCCCAACCCTTTAAGGGTCTCTATGATTTCTCGGTGGCCATGCCAAGCATCGCAGTGCTACTCTACCCCTTTTTTAGGGTACCTAGTTCTTAAGTTAGGATCTGATATATAGAAAAGTAGGTCACCTGAAAAAGGGGTAGGGTATGAGCCTGTAGGTAGGGCTTAGGGTCAGGCTGCCCATTTCCCTTCTCGCAATTGGTCTGCCATGTCTTCGCTGGATCAAACGTTTGGACGAAAACAGCAACTGTTCTGTCCGTGGACGCTGCACAGACGGGTCAATGGCTCGCTGTGCTTCAGGTCCATGTAATCTGCATGCCTTATCCATGTTTCTGGGCTCCATCTGAAGCATCTGACGGCAACATCCATAGCCAAAGCTTCGTGATGTCTGGCACGACATCCCACTCAGTGTGGCGGAACAACCCGGAGGGCTAGGGTTACGAATGATATGTGGAATAAGACAGATGCCTCAAGCGACTCTGTAGTACACGCAAATCAATTCATTATCAAGTCTTCAGTCTGTTCCGTCGCCTGTGCCCCAAACCCTAAACCCCTCCCCGCGCAGAGTCCACAGCATTAGGGGTACAAGCTGACATCGATTTCGGGGATCGCCATCGGTCGGTTAGATTGAGCTGGCTGCACCCTTACGGGAGAACCGCAGATCGTGCGTGAGAAGAATTGGCAACACACCCCTGGCTCTGAACCCTGGGCCCAAATTTAAGATAATATGTCTACGAGAGGAACCCTGAGTCTGTATGACGATTAGCACTGAAAGTGAGTGAAATGTCTGTGCAGTACCGCAACCTCAACATTTCTCCAGCATCAGCCAAACGTGAAACATCACAATATCTGGGCATGGCCTCCACACCGAGGCAAATGAGAAGCCATCCGCTGAAGACCTGAGCAAGCTGTTTCCTAAACCCTAGACCCTGAAAACCCTAAACCCCCAAACCCCTAAACCCCTAACCCCTAAACCCTACTAAACCCTGCGCCTGAACCCCCAAAACCTAAAAAACCCTGAGCACAGGCGATTCAGGATTGGGACTGGGGCTTTAGCTTCGGGCTATGACTATGACCGTGTCCTGCAGAGGCCTTGTAATCGGCTCCATAAGGTTGTGACAGGGTTATCAGCGGGTAGTAGTAGTACAGTAGTAGTAGTAGTAGTAGTAGTAGTAGTAGTAGTAGTAGTAGTAGTAGTAGTAGTAGTAGTAGTACTAGTAGTACTTGTAGTAGTAGTAGTAGTAGTAGTAGTAGTAGTAGTAGTAGTAGTAGTAGTAGTAGTAGTAGTAGTAGTAGTAGTAGTAGTAGTAGTAGAAGTACTAGTACTAGATAGGTACCACAACCACAGCGACGACGACAGCAACAGCAACTCTTACGCTTCACTTTGCCCGTCTGAGGCTCCAGTGATTTGGAGGACATCAGGTAGTGGGTGGCTGTCACATTTGTTGTACATTAACATGCAATTGCCATACTAACAAAAGTCGCAACATCAAGAGCCACAGCAACCCTGATAATCTGTTACTGTTACGTTGTGCTTTGCCCATCTCGGTTTCCGGTGATTTTTTAAGGAAATCAGGCAGTGGGTTACTTGCCGATGTGTTCGTCCTCCTTGTCGTTGTCACGCAGAGTTGGCTTTGGAGAAGGGTTCAGGGTCAGGGGGTTGAGTTCAAGGTGATAGAAATCAACGTCAATGTGTTCTTATTGCCTGGAGAATACGAGTAACCAAGAGCAGCCGACGGCACTTGCAGCAGGATTTCATGCCGTGGTTGAAGGTGCGAAAGAAATGGCAGTTGCGGGGGCCCTAAACTAACTCCAAATCCCCCGAATGTAAAGACCGCAACCCTATTGCCGAACAGCTTGCAAGCCTCGCATGCTCCAAGGTTGGAATTCTAGTTCTTCGGTCTTTTCAGCCTTTGGCCGTGGGAGTAAAGCGGCACTACAAGGGGTTCCGGGATTGAGACAACGATGCTCCCGGCCACGCCTCCGAGGCTGTGCAGATCTCTCTGCACGGGAGCATTGTTCTGTACGGCGACCTCGTAGACTTCAGGGTGTATATACTTGGAGGATCATGGGACTTAGTAAGTAAGGTTATAAGTACCCTAATTGGGGGATATAAGTAAGTATGATTACATTATTTATAGCCCTAGTTACTAAGTCCCATGATCCTTTACGTAAGGCTCAAGGTGTAAGGCGGCTTCAAGGTTGAGCATGCTGCGTCTCCACCAAAACTCCCTAAGGTAAAAGCCAGAAAGTTGGAATATGATTATCCAGGTTTTTTTTTGAGGGCATGGCAGCTTTAGGGTTTAGGGGAATCCTATCCCTTCTATGGTAAATTATAGGGTATCCTACCATGAAACCATATTCCAACTTTCTGGAGTTCCCTGTAGCTAAACAAAACACTAGTCAGGTCCATTGTGGGAGTTTCCGAAAATAGGGGACCCTGATATAGTACCCTAGTAGGATCCTTATTATAAGGACCCCCAAATAAGGTACCCCTAGTTTTCGGAAGCTCCCATATACCATTACCCTGAACCCCAACTCTGTCTCTCGGTCTCTCTCTCTCTCTCTCTCTCTCTCTCTCTCTCTCTCTCTCTCTCTCTCTCAATCTTACTGTGGGCTCATAGGTTGTGCTCCAGAGTTCGGTATTTACATACATGTTGTCGCGGGGTTCTCAGCACTTCAGTGCTTCACGTGAGCTGCTTGGAGTGCCGGGTCTGCGGCTTATGATCTGAGGCTTGGGTCGTGGGTGTCAGTGTCCTTCTGGAAGCTAGGATTTTACGCCCTAAACCCTAAACCCCTAAACTGTCTTCAGCGTTGACTTGGCGGTCGAGGGTTTGTACTTCCGACTGTTGCAGCGCTGATAGGCGACAGTGTTGAAACTCATCCGGTATGGCACCCTGGCACCTTCGGGCTCCAGATAGCCCAAATTACTAAAGTGCAAACCCTGAAACTTAAATGTAAAACGGCTGTGTGCTTGAGATACTGCTTTGGGCTTATGGTTTGGATTGCCATACTTCCGTTTCGCGGCCTACAGAAACATGCACTAATATAGGGAACTGACTACATTAAAAAATCTGACGGGAGTAGCTTTCAGATATATAGTCTCTATAAGGCCACAAGATACTATACCGCAAAATACGATTCTAGTTATTATGGCCCCCATACTATACCCCTCATTCTAGCCTTTGCAGAACCCCTGAAAGAACCCTTATTAAGAAGTGAACCGTCATACTACCGTAGCCTTTCTCGAACCCTTCCTGAAACCCTGATAGTTTGGCCAGGGTTCTAGAGGGTCTGGATTTCAGTGTCCAGGGCTCAATGGAATGAGGATTCGAGGTGTATGATTCTGTCTGTGTTTCTACACAAGTCCATACAGCGTATGAGGGACACGACACATCATACAGCTCTCTGAGAAAACACAGTTACTATTTCAGATGTGTGTATAAACCCCGACAGGCTGACTTTCATCCGCTGTCTTCCAGGATGTAGAAACTTGGCTGACTTCTGAACCCCGCCAAAAAGTTAAACTTTTGGGCTCCTTACTATAGTTCATAAAGACACCCCAAAAGTTACAGTCTAAAGAGCCAACCAGAAGAACGCCAAGGAAATTGGGTCAATCTGTAACAGCGCTCATGCTCGAAGTTGGGTCTCAAAGCATGTGATGTCGGAGCGAGTTTGGGCAGTGTGGGTTCATGCATGCTCAACTCTCGCACGGTGCTGCAGACAGTGCTGCAACGAAACTTATCAAGAAAAAACATTTGTTTCATTGGCTAAGGCGCTACCTCGGAGCAGTGCCCCTTGTCTCATTCGCTCATGTTTAGCACTGCCACAAACACTTTTTGTCGTTCGAGTTCACTACATCAGGTCAGCAATGCTTGATCTCGTTTACAGCATGTGCTTTCGCGGGAACCTAAACACTAATCCGTGTAAGCCCCTCGTGGAGCGGGCTCCGACAACGAAATTACTGCCACCTGTCGGCAACTGAAGTACTAATATTGCACGAACAACAGCAGTCGCGCAGCTGATCCTGCACGACCGTACTGTCACCACCCCACCATGCGTCACCCCATGTCACGATGGATCCATCGCTCAGAATGGCAGCAAAAGCGCAAGTGGTGGCTTGTATTTGTTGAACGTTCTTCAGCTGAGCCTGCACAGCTCTGCTGTCTCCACCCGCGCCGGCACAGCCCCAGGTCACGACGGATCCATCGCCAAGAATGGCAGCAAAAGCACAGTCACAGGCTTGGATTTGCTGCACATTCCTGCACTCGCTCTGCACAGCATTACTGTCTCCACCGCTGCTGATACAACCCCAGGTCAAGACAGATCCGTCGCCCAGAATGGCAGCAAAAGCGTTGTAAGAGGCTTGAATCTGCTGCACGTCTTTCAATTGATCCTGCACAGCACTGCTGTCACCACCATTCTCGTTATCGCCCCAAGTCACGACAGTTCCGTCACTGGTAATGCCGGCAAAAGCACGTTTAGTGGCTCGGATTTGGTGCACATTTCTCAGCTGGGCCCGAACGGCACCACTGTCTCCACCGGTCTCGGCGAGGCCCCAGGTCACGACCGATCCATCGCCGCACAGTGCAGCAAAACAGGTTCCGGTAGTCTCGATGCGCCGCACATTTGCAAGTTTATCCCGCACAGCACTGCTGTCACCACCAAAATGATCAGGACCCCAGGTCACGACCGATCCGTCGCCGAGTATGGCAGCAAAAGCAGCCTCAGAGGCTTGGATCTGCTGCACATTCTTCAGCTGGTGTTGCACAACACTGCTGTCACCACCGCAGCCAGCATCACCCCAGGTGACGACGGATCCATCGCCAAGAACGGCAGCAAAGGCGTGGTGAGTGGCTTGAACCTGCTGCACATCCTTCAGCTGGCCCTGTAGAGCTCTGCTGTCTCCACCAGACCCAGCATGCCCCCAGGTGACGACAGCGCCATCGTCAAGTATGGCAGCAAAAGCGACATTGTTGGCTTTGATCTGCTGCACATGTTTCAGTTGCTCCTGAACGGCCGAGCTGTCACCACCATTGCGAGCATCACCCCAGGTCACGACGGATCCATCAGCGAGGATGGCAGCAAAAGCGCTGAAAGTGGCTTGGATCTGCTGCACATTTTGCAGCAGCTGACCCCGCACAGCACTGCTGTCATCACCATACTTCTCTTCTCCCCAGGTCACGACAGATCCATCACCAAGGGTGGCAGCAAAGGCCGCGAGGGAGGCTTGAACTTTAACAACATTGACGTGCAACGTCAAGCGGTCACCGTCCTTCACACTAGCATGCTTGATGCATGCATATACATCCAGGACGTTTCCAGACAAATCCAGCAGCCGCCCTCTTCTGACTCCAAGGTTGGTTTGCGCCCGATCCTTTAGAAAAAGCACCTCCTCATCCAGGTATGCTTTCAGAACCGCTGTCTTCCCACTGAGCAGGCCCACTTCCACTGTAATCGACATGAAGGCCAAAGGACCCACGAATGCTCAAAAAAGATAAGGATCACAAGAACGCCAAGTCGCAAGGCTTGTCTCCCAAAGATTTCGCTAATTTAAGCAGGAGTATGGGCCCCCCCTGAAGCTCCTAAACTATCTCATAACACCTAAGCCCGCCTCTACCATTACAATGTGTGTAGTCCCTAGACCCTACACCTAAACCCCAAACCCTTAAACCCTAACCCCTCAACCCCTAAATCCTGAACCCTTAAGCCCTACACCCTGGACCCTGAACCCCTAAACCCCTAAACCCTAAACCCCTAAACTCTAAACCCTAAACTCAAAACTAAACTCTGCAATGACAACCTCAGCTCTTCCAGGATCCTGTGTCTGCCGCCGGGCGTTGTCGCCCTTTTGAATTGGGAAACAAGCATCGGTACGGTTTGCGGTTTAGGGGTATATAGGGTATATAGGGTATAAGGGTCCATGAACCCAAACAGCGAATGCATTGGCCCCAGAGCACCTATATAGGGACTACTTTCAGGCAACAGTGCGTATTCTATCTGGTTGAAGGCCTCGGAGGTGAAGATAGGGTGTTCAACGTAAGAAAGGTTTGGGACTCAGGCATCAGGCTTATGTCTAAAGCGTCGGAGTTGAAGATAGGGCTTTGACATCAGGAGGGGCTCGGGATGGACCTGAGCGCTTAGGGGAATTCAATGACAACTAGGGTTTTAGGGCTCTCTCTAGGGTTCTATAATCGGGTTCCCTGTATGGATAAGTATAGCTGCCGTCTTCATAACCGTATTACCAAGTCCCATGAACCTGAATTTGAGTAGGCCCTAAAGGGAAACCTGTTAGAGAACCTTCAAAAGAAGCCTAGACCCTAGCTGTTACTGAAGCCCCATGAAACTTTAAGAAAGGAAACCCTAGTATAGAACCATAAACTACCCTTAAAAGGCACCCTATATACTATACTGAACTTAGAACCCTAGCAACAATTATAATGTTAGCTGTTTCTTAGGGATTATAATAACCAAACATTCAACATTATTTCTAAGTACCCCTAAGTTTAATGTGGAACCCCCTGTAGATCCCTTAAAGGTACCCTTATAGATCCCTTTAAAGGTCCATCAACAGTATATAGGGCCAGGTAATGTGGAGGGATCCTTAGGGCCCGCGCCCCCAAAGCCCAGAGCGCCAGAGCCCGGGTTGCCTCCTTCGCTGTTTGTTTTGTTCGTGGGGGTGTTTGAGGTTTAGGGATTACAGGGTTTAGGGCTTCAAAGGTTTATATATGGGTGGTTGTCAAAATTATGTTCCCTGTTTGGGTCGGGTCTGCTACTGCGGTCTAGAGTCTAGCAGCTGTGTATTACATTTGGGGATTTCAACGGTAGGCTTGAACAGATATTGGTGATTCCCCTAGGCCCTAAGCCCTCAACCCACAAAATGCCCCTTGGTTTACAGAATCCCTAAAATACCGACCCCCTGAACTAATCCACGACCCTACTAAATCCTCAACTCCTTAATTGGCTTCGTGGTCCTCCCGATCTGTGCCCAACGCAAGGTCCTCGGCCGGTATGGAACCAACAGGGGTTACGCACCGTATACTTTGACCAGAGAGTACCTTAAAGGAAACCCCAACAAAAGGCCAATGTATACTATAGCTATACACCATACACACGGATGATTCCAGACTGCGAATGTTGCAAGGTAGCCGTCGGCAGGATATGCAGACGTCTATTGAGTCTATTGGCCGGGCCGTAATAATCAATGGAGCCTGAGGGTTCAATCAAGGAACGCAAAATCGCAAACACTAGTGAATAATAGCTTCAGCCCTTGTAACTGTATTGCTGCGGACGAGGGTTCGAGCACAACATGTACTCCACAGTCCTACGCCTCAAAACTCATTCGAAAACTTCGGCGCCCTAGATGCGAGCAACGCATCATAAAATCTGAACATGGAGGGCGCTTCAACGATTTGGGTACAGAAGCAATGGCCATTCAAGCCGATCGCAAAAGCAAAGCCCAAACATCTTGTCAATATCGGAACTATGACTTTACTTTGCTCTAAATCACAACTCCAACCGTCCTTGCTCTCCGTAAGCCCTAAACCGTTCTGAGTGTCTGGCTAACATTGGCTGCATTCCTCCCATCTTGTGCAGATTGCCGGCCTCGGGAGCCAGCGCCAAGCCACTGAAGCCGAATCTCTTAATCCTCAGTACCCAGAGACCCAGAGACTCCAATATCCCTTGATTGAGGAATATATTCCTTCAAGTGTAGCAGGATCCCTAAAAGTTATGATGTGCAGTCTATTTCCTGATTAGTGGGATATTGGGGTCTCTGGGTAGTAAGTGAACCCACAGCTACTAAAGGCGTCGGTCGTCCGTGTTAATGCAGTAACGCGCACGTGCAAAAACTTACATCATCTCAAAGGTGCACCTGTTGCAAGTCCTCAAAAGAAGCTCTATAAGAACTGTGATGGTGACTTCGGCGAAAGGGTAGTTGGGGGAGAGGGGTCTAGGGAGCAGCACTCCTGACATGCTGTATCTAATCGAAAAGTCGAAGCTGCCTGAGTGGCTTCCATGGCCAGTGGGAAATTACTCAGTGCCAAGCTCGGAGGAGTTGAGTGGAAGCGTGCAAGCAAAAATGAGCGCAACGCAACCTTCCTCCAAGAGCCCAACGAGTAGCTGCAAAACACCACGGCTAGACTTACAGCTTGGTCACAGGAGCAACACCTCTGGCGTGCGCGAGCACCCTCTCCAGCAACAACGGCCGCGGCAATGCCAAGAGAGAAACCCATGAAATGAATGAACCAAAAAAGCCGTGAGCGTCTGCTTAAGGTGCGGCTTGTGCGCTGGGGTTCCAAGGATTATCTCACCATCACTGTATGGAGCAACGATTGCCCTGTGCTGGAGTATTTGGAATATTGGAAACCCAAAAGCTCATCTTTATAGTACATACTGAAGCCTTAAAGGGGTCCCTATATGGGTAATTGAGGGTCCAAGTATATACTATGTGCGTACCACGGACCCTTGTACCCCCAAACCCTATAGAACCCTTTAAAAGACCCCTTTACAGGAACCCTATTGTGGGTACCATGGAGCCTTATACCCTAAACCCGACAGAACCCTCCAAAGGACCCCCTTGAAGGAACCCTTTAAAGGAGCCCTATTATGGGTACCATGGGGCCTTAGGGGAAGTGGCTTAGGGCTCATTTTCACATCAGTCCGACCGGGCTTCGGCGGCGGTAGCAACAACAGCAGACCCAGAAAACTCTGGACCCATGACATAAGGTAAAAGCCAGAAAGTTGGAATATGATTATCCTACCGCTTCTATGGGAAATTATAGGGTATCCTACCATGAAATCATATTCCAACTTTCTGGAGACATAGAAACAGGGGTGCTGGACAAGGTGAGTCTCCCAATATCTGGATGCTGTCCAAAGATTGGTATCCTTCTTGCCCTAAGGCTCCAGGTACCCATATAGTACATACTTAGGCCTTCAAGTACCTAAAAAGGAACCCCTTTAAGGCTTCAGTGTCTTCTTTCAAGGTACATGGAGCCTTAGGGTTGGCTCTCTCCGAGTCTGCTGGGGTCATCCTCGCGCCCAGGTGTGCTGTCAAGAACCACAAGCCAGCCCGGTAGAAACGTGGATGGGCCCTGAAGCCAACAAATTCAAAAGCAAAAGACGGTCTCATAGCATGGCATCTCCTTTATCACTGTGACTGCTGAGCTCCGCACGCGTTGCCGTGGGACTTCTGACTGTGGACCCGGATTCCGATCATTTTCCACTCCATGTCCAAACCCCAGGAATTTGTCCTCGATGCGTCGGATTTCTCAGCGCGGATTCCGACGCCAATATGGGCGCGATCACCAGCACCAACCCAAAGGCTCCATGTATCTTTATAGTTTATACTTTGGCCTTAAAGTAGTCCCTAAAAGGGTACTTTTAAGGCCTACGTATATACTATTTGGGCACATGGAACCTTAGGGCAATAGCTGGTTGGGAATCAGATTCAGGGTAGTCTTTGAAAAGGCGGCGGCCGCATCGATGTCTAAGGCAGTGAGTCGTCCCCAGAGAACCCAATGCCACTTAATTGAGGAATATAACTTGAATTAAGGAAGCCTTGATATTATTGTGTGTGTACATATTCATATATACATATATATATATATACACATACATATATATATATATATACACATGATTTAAGGTATATTCCTCAAATAAGGGGTATTGGGATCTCTGGGTTCCTATAAAACGGCATGGGTGCTAAGGGGTTTAGGGTCTAGGGTTTAAGGGTTTTAAGGGTTTTAGGGGTTTTAGGGTTTAGGGCTTCAGGGGTTCCTAGGGTTTAGGAGCTTTAGGGTTTGAGCTTTACGGCTTAGAGTTTAGGGGTTTTGGGTTTTAGGGTTTAGAGTTTAGGGGTTTTAGGGTTAAGGGGTTTTAGGGATTCTAGGGTTTAGGGGTGTTAGGGCTTAGGGGGTTCAGGGCTGAGGCTTTCCCGTTTCTCTCAGCGCCCGGCATGATCCACCTGGTGCAGGACTTCCTGCTGCGAATACTTTCAGGCTTGGAGTTCGGGTTTTTGGAAGGGCTAAAAATATCAAAGCTAATTGTAAGGTCCAGGTTTTGGTGATTTAGGACTACGGGTTGCGACTTCGCGCTTAAAAGGACACGGTGCGGGGCCAAGGGTTTACGATTCCAAGTTACCTTGCAGGGTGCACGGGGAGGGCCGCTGGTTTGGTATAGGGAAGCTGTGCAAGTCAAAAAAAAGGTGTGCCGGACGCTTCTGAGCTTCCCAAGAGGGTCTTTATATACTAATGGGGATGGTCTTTTAGGGCCTAATTCTATAATAGTAGTGTATATGGACCCTCTGGCTTTGGTGCCATTTTCTCGAAGAGCTATACCTTCTAGTAGCTGTCAACATCAGTTCATACGGTCGCAACTCGAACAACCATACTGGGGAGGGGGTGCATCAAAGTCTCTCTGCGGCATGTTAGTTGGGAGTTTCCGAAAATAGGGGACCCTAATGTAGTAGGAGCCCTACAATCCCCGGACCGTATATGGGAGTTTCCGAAAGGAGGGGACCCAATATAGTACCCTGGATAGTAGGACCCTTATTATAAGGACCTCAAAGTAAGGTACCCCTGATTTTCGGAAACTCCCATATATCGACTGCTTCGTCATTTCTTGAACTCTTCGCTTGCCAGTATACCGTTGTGTGCGACACTATGTCGCAGAAAGTGCCATACCTCGAGATCTGTCAGTTAATCTACCAACCGGTGTGTCTACATCCAATTTGTTTGATTTCCGTCTATCTATTCAGCTGTCTATCTACCTACCTGACTAAATTCATCGACCTACCTGCCATCTATCCGTCGATCAGCCTGTCCACCTATCCACCACAATTGATCTATCTACCATTTGTCAGTTCAACGATCCACCTATCAATCTATCGACCCATCTATCTACCTACCCACCTATAAAACGATCCATGTGGGTGGTTGTCAAAATTAGGAACCCCTTTTGGGTTGCCCTAAACTTCAGGTGTCGTATTGTATTTGGGACTCCCCAAAAGACCATAATTTTGAGAACCACCCAGGTATCTACACCTCCGTTTCTATCTGTCCGTCTGTCTGGCTGTCACCTAACTGTCTGCGTGACTGCCTCTGCACCAATCACTGAATCCGTCTTGATATCCATCTATCGATCGGTCGATCCAGCTATCCATCCATCTATCGACCTGTAGCCATCTAACTATCCGTGTGTATGAGTTTCTTTACACGTGCATCTATCTTTCTAACTACCTCTCTAACTATAAAATCTACACAATCTACACGTATGTATATGTATATATGATGTAGAAGTGATATGTGCTTACACTAGTGTAAGACATGAAACTATATACACGTGATAATGCACATAGAGGTCTTATGTCACAGCGGTGCGCCTAAACGATTTCACAATGATAGCGCCAGCTAGACTTCCTGCGGTTAGTACAAAAAAGGACTATATGGGAGTTTCCGAAAATCAGGGACCCTAATGTAGCAGGAACCTTATTATAGGGATCCCAAAATAAGGTAGCCGCAATTTTCGGAAACTCCCATATTCGTAAAAGCATATACAGTGAAGGAAGACTCACAGCTTCGTGTCTTGTTCATAGGCAGCTTTCCAAACAACCGCCGAGCATATGTGCTGGCGCCGTGATCCTTAAACCCTCAACCCCTATAAACCCAAAACCCCTATATAAAACCCTAAACCCTAAACCGTTTCTGCGGTGTGGGCAAGGACCAAGACCGAAAGTAGTTCAAAAGCACACGGCAGGCAGTGACAACATGAGGTGGTCGGTGTTCGTCGTTTTTGTGCGAGCTGTCTCTGACCCCGATTCCTTGCTCATGAGATCGTCAAACCCTCCAAAATGCGGTCTAAACATTTGCACCAACAGAGACACAGCCAATGAATCTGAAACCCCAAATCCTAGGACCCTGAAGCCCACAATGCCTCAAACCTCATGCCCAAACACACTGAATATGAAACCCCAAATCCTCAGACCTTGAACTCTCAGACCTCAAACCCTGAGCTATGTGAACGGGATGAGCCCCGTTTTGGCGACCTGTATCCCCAAACCCCACAGAATAGTAGGTTCTGCCCTTAAAGGGAACTCCAGAAAGTTGGAATATGGATTATTGGTAGGATCCCCTATAATTGACCTTAAAGGGGTTACGATAATTATATTCCAACTTTCTGGCTTCTACTGTAGGAAACCCCTAAAACTGTAGGTTTTCGTCCCCCCGTAGGGTTTAGGGTTTGGGTGTCCCGCTGCCTCCAACTCTTCCAGCGCGGCTTGAATTTCGCCTGAGAAGACAAGGGTGTATAAGGGTGTGTAGGATATGATCGAGGGTTTAGGGTTTATTCAGGCGTTTAGGGTTCAGGGTTTGGGGGTTTAGGAATTGCTCCGTGTGACTCCACGACTCGTTGACTACGGATTTGTTTCTAACTTTATGTTTACTGCGTTGCGGGTTTCGCTTGCAGGCGTGATGGAATTCTGCAGCATTTGCTTGCAGGACCTCCCGGGCTTCAGCAAAGCTCAGGCACAGAATGCCACAACATCCTTGCCAAAAAAATCGCAAGGATGCCGGGATCTTAGAAAGCCCAGATCTAGATTAAGCACGCGGCTACATATGAAATTGAAGTGCGTAATGTGTTAACCTCAAATAACGAATAGAAGATCATCCCTGAAGCCCCATATCCTGAACATCCGCCAAAATGCGACAAAAACTGGACGTTGCACACTGAACCCAGTAGATGCCATCAAAGAACTCTCCGGCAAGGAGTGATTCCGATAGTCCTGCACGCAAGTGTGCAAGTGCCGAAGTGACAAAAGTCCAGACAGAACGGTCACATCAGTCAGTATATAGCGAGAAACATCCAAATCCCCACCTTTGCAAGTTCATCTTGGTTAGCAAAGCAACCATAGCTTCGCAATGCACCCAGAATGGAGTTTAGTGCATAAGGTCCTGGATGATGGCTATCTGCTCGCTGAGAACGTCTCCCTGCCAGTCTGCGGTTCATGCGATTGAAGTCGAGCGTGTTTTGGGCTTCAGCTCCATACCCTCAGGGTCCATGTACCCAAACAGCATATATTATAGCCCCGAAATACCTATATAGGGACTACGTTCAGGCCCGAGTATTTACTATTTGGGTACATGGACCCTCAAGGCATACTGGATTCTCGATCTGACCGGCATTCAGGAAGCGCAGGCTGCAACCCTAAACCCTAAACCCTAGCTTGAAAGCCGCAAAAAGAAGTCTTCCAGTCTTCCCACCTGGCTCGCGGCAGATGTAACCCAAACGTCTCGTTGCTGCTGATCAAACATGAGTCAGGTGATCTACCTAGAGACTAAGATGCAGTACTTGCGTACTTTAGTTGCAACCTTAGTTTGTTACTCTCAGGTCCTTACAGGCTCTAGCTTGAATCTCGGAATCGGGCTTTAGGCGTTTAGGACCGTTTGTGGCCTCGGTTTTGAAGAAGGCATCGATGACATCTTGCCCGTAGATGTCCTTCGTGGTGAGGTTCTGCTCCTGGACACGCCCGAAGGCTTAATTTGTGTTCAGAGGGCTGGCTAACCTGGATGCCGAAAAGTTGGAGTCATCGCATGTGTTTCGGCAGAAAATCCTAAAACCCTGAAGCCCTAAAACACTAAAACCCTAAAGCCCTAAACCCCCAAAACCATAAAAAACCTCAGCTAATCAGACTGCTTGTTGTGCCGTCTGCGCCCAGACGCACAGTTGAACAGCAGCATACAGCAAACCCTGAACTGAAAATCCTAAGCCGGCTTTGAGTAAATAGTACTCCCTAAAGGGTCCATGTACCCACATATTATAGACATTGGCCTTAATGTCGTTCCTATGCAGGTACTTTAAGGCCCAAGTATATGCTATATGAGAACATGGACTCTTATGCCCTAAATACCCTTATAGAACCCCTGGGCCCTTAGGGACTGGCAGCCGGTGGATCGACGCAACCTTTCTGCACTCCTACCGAGCTTCTACGACTGCGCGGGGGTTGGAACTTTCGAGATGACCTGTTCGATAGAGGGTTTACTTAGAGGTTCATGGGACTTAGCAACTGGGGTTAGAATTAAGGTAACTACACTTATATGTACTTATAATGCCAATTAGGGTAATTATAACTGTACTTACTAAGTCCCATGAACCTCCAAGTAGGGTTTAGGGCCCAGGGGTTTAGGGTTTAAATTCGGCGTTATTAGGATTTAAAGTGTGCTTTAGGGTTTAGATTCAGATGTTAGAGCCAGAGAGCTCTTACGCCACAGGTTTGTGAGGTCCTCGGTGCAGTATGCGACATTCCGATGGGAGGCAGGAGTGTATAAATGTGAGTTGGCAACTTCGCAAACTCTGTGGGCGACTGCGAAGACGTTGGTCCTGTTGCTTACTAGCCCGAAGGCCCCATGTACCCATATATGGTGTATACTTAGGCACTGAGGCCTTAAAGTACCTATATAGGGACCCTTTAAGGCTTAAGTATCTACTATAAAGGTGCATGGAGCCTTTGGGTAGAATGCTGTACCACTTGCGAGTCACTCTGCAGCATTTCATGCTTCTTCCAGTCGAGAAGACTGACCCTAAACCCCTAAACCCTAAACCGTGATTCGTGGGTTTCATACAGCTATCAGGCGAGGGGCCATCTTAACTTTACTTGGCTGACTTCTGAACCCCTCCTAACAGTTCAACTGTTCGTCTCCTTACTATAGTCCATATAGAGAAACGAAGAGTTAAACTTAGTTGCCGAGTTCATAAGCCCAAAGAAGTTTCAACTTTCAGTTTTAAGAGGGTGTCATTATCCCAAAAAGTTTAAGTTTATAAACTCAACTACTCAGTAAAGCACTGACTGAGAGCCAGCCAGAAGAACGCCAAGATAAGACCTCATGGCTTCAGTTCTGGACGCCGATTTTGAGCTCGCTTCCAGGCTACGAAACCCCGCGCATCTGCGTCTTGCAGACGGGGGCATGACTGTGACAAGCGTGCTTGAAAACGAGTTGCTGACACTGAGGCAGCAAGAGACCTATCCTAAACCCTAAAGCGCCGAACCTCAACTGTCCGAACCCTTCGGATGTGAAAACTCCCGACGTACATCCCTCTTCTGTACACCACAAAGCTACTGATCAGAAATGGGGGGTTCAGGGCAACAGAGTCTGAGGAACTTGCAGGCATTTCGAGGATGAAATGTTTAAGGCTCAGGGTTTTGCGTATAGTTTGAATGATGATGTTTAGGGTTTACACCCGCTGGTTCGGAGTTTAGGGTCTAGTCCAGGGTGTAGCTTTCATGGTTCACGCATGCATACAACCTGAAACCTAAGTCTTGGTCATGGGACCTAACTGCAGAAGCCCGTCAGCTCGAAGCCAAGCCAGGTCCTGCAACGTCCGGAAATGAAGCTCTTCGGGATTAGGGTACATCGGTTTTCGGGCTTGGGGTCCTCGAGAGTAATGGAGAAACAGAGCTCCTACACACCCTCTGGTGCTCGGGGGCGTCGCTTCATGACGTCAAGGTGCGAACAACGCCAAACACCTTCCGGACCCCCATATCCTAAGGATTCGTGTGCCAGGTTCCTTGAAGGGTACTTTTAGATATATTAATTATAGGGTACTTGACGGGTTTAGCGTGTGAGCGTCATAAGCCCGACAGCTCAGATTTTAAACTTACATGTAGGCAAACAAGCCCTGGGCGAAGGGCTCACACATCTATGCAGTGTGAGATATGCTTACAAACCACTTTAGACTCTCGGGGTTAAAAGTCCGGAGTTGGGGGCTTTAGGGAACAGGGCTGCGAATTCGTGTTAGGGCTTAGGGTTTAGGGTTTAGGGCCACAATGCTGCAAGCACCATCAAACCCCAAGCCGAACAACAAACCAGACAAAACAAGACAAGACAGGACCCGTCAAGAACCTCAGAACAAGGCAGCCCTAAAACAAAAACTACAAACCCTCATAACACCCCAGAAAACCATCCTCCCTGAACCCTAAACCCCAACCCCACCCCTTCAAAACACAACAGAGTTTCCGAACACTTAACCCTATCCCTAAACCCCCCTATATACACCCTAAAACCTAAGCCCCCTACACCTAAATCCGACACCCCAAAAGGCAGTTGCCATCAACCTCCCACGGTCTCCCCCACTGGAGCCTTATACCCCCAAGCCCGAAACCCTAAAGGAACCCTCAAAGGATCCCTTAAAGGAGACCTGAAAGGAACCCCTCCCACGGCCTGCCCGCCCACCCGCTCGATCATCTCTTCCGGTCGTAGAGGGACGAAGCCGCCACGCCTCCGCCAAAAGCCTGGGATTGAAGGTTTTGTAAGAGGAGTTCTAAGGGTTTAGGGTTTCAGGGTTTAGGGTTTAAGAGTTAAGGGTTTAAAGCTTAAGGGCTTAAATGTTTAAGGGTTTAAGCGTTTAGAGCTTTAGGGTTTAGGGTTGCTATGTGAGGTTTCAGGCTTAGGGTTCATGCTTTTTGTGAGGTGAGGTTTAGGGCTATGGGTTTAGGTTGTGGGTTCAGGTTTTAGGGTTTGGGCGTGCAGTATCTTGGATGGTGACTAGCTTCTGGTGTATCTTCAACAACGATACTACTGCGACTAGAATGCTTGGGATTGTGGGGGCTACTTAATGCGACGGTACTTGCTTTTAGATTTAGATGGGCCTTGGTTAGGGGTCCTCGCAGTACGACCCTCTAATGTTTAGATTCGAGGAGTCTGAGTTGGGGCTGCAGGGCTAGACATTGCAAATCCATTCATCTAGATACGGGTTTGGGTTTAGGGTTTAAGCTTCCGGGCTCGATTTTAGGCTGTGCATAAGTTGACAGTGCTGTTCAGGCGACCGGAGCCCTAGGAGTTTGAGGGTCTACAGTAGAAGCCCAAAAGTTGGAAACCTCATAGCCTCAATCCCTAAGAGTAATGTATAGGGAATCCCAGCACTATGTGGCTTTAGCTAGGTTTCCAACTTTTTGGGGTGTACTGTAATCTAGTGCTGGACTGTGCGTTTAGTGCTACAGGATATAAGGTTTGGGACAGCGGGCTCGAGGGGAGGAATGGGGGCTTCACAGTTCGATGGAAGTAGGGTGTCAACCACAGAACATGGTAACACAAGTAACCGTGCGGATTGATGTGAGTGCATATAGTTGTATAGTTGTACAGTACATACAGTGTTGCATAGAAAGCTACCGGCTTCTGAAGTTCGGTATAGTCTTTTCAATTTTAGAGCTATATATACATATATATATATATATGCATATACATACATATACATACATATACATATACATATACATATATATATAGTGTTAGTTAAATACAGTTATATAGTGTTATACAGTTATGTACGGATATATAGATATACAGTCATATACAACGTCATACGTAGTTACCTAAAGTTATATACAGATGAATATTATGTTCTATGCGTATACATTCTTATAAATGCAGAGCCATCTTCTATCGAAGCTCCCACAAAAATCAAGGATAGCCCCGGCGCTCGTCACTTATAGGGTTTGGGTTCAGCGGTATGCATCACTTTCAGTATTCTTGCAGTATTCAGGTTTACATAGATTCGGGTTTACGCAGGCTGTCATGAAGTGTAGGGTTGAACGGGGGGGGGCATGCACGTTTCTGGGTTGTGCTTTAAACCCTTTGAAAACTCTTTATGAATAGGTTCCCTTGATAAGGAAATAGGGAAATTAGAAATTATCCCAAATCACAACCCAAGTTTACAGCGAATTTACCGCCAGCATGCTGCCTAATGTGTTGTCAAGGCCGCCGAGATGTGAGAGGCTATAGCCTGAAAAACCGGAGGAGGGTTCACATATGTTTGCAGGTCATGAACTCTTTGGGGCTTTCTAGACTTGTCATTTTGGGGCTCAGGGGCTCAGGGCTCGGGATTATGTCTTTTACCTTTGTGGGGTTTCGGTTCCAGGGTCTACAGAAGACCAGGCATTAAGAAGGAAACCCGAAGCCCTGACTTCGGGCTTCCGCCCTCACCTTCTAACGGGAAGGTTTGCCTTTTCTCAAAATAGAAGTGGTACCCTGATTATGATATGATAAGCCCCTTCTCACGTTAAGGATGTTGCTGTTCAGAACTCTACCGCGAAGTACGCCATTTCCTAAAACCCTATGGTAGTAGCCCAAAAGTTGGAAACCCAATAGCCTAATGTGAAAGGAATCCCAGCACGATTTGTCCTAAATCAGGCTTCCAACTTTTTGGAGTTTACTGTAAGCCCTAATCCCTTAAACCGAAAGTCGAGTAACGCCAAGGCTGGCTCCAACGGCCGTGCCGACGAGCCAACCTCCGAAAAGAGGGTTTGGGGCTTCGGGGGTTTATAGGGTGCAGGGAGTTTAGGGCGTATAGGGCTTAGGGGTTAGAGGTCTAGGATTTAGGGGGTTTAGGTTTTAGGAGTTTAGGGGGTTCAGCGGACTGGTTTACGGTGGCTACATGTTTGAGACAAAAAGTTTAGGATTAGCAGCGTCAAGGGCAACACTGCAACCACCACCACCACCGCCACCACCACCACCACCACCACC